CCCGCACAAAGTTAGTCGCATATATGACAACATAAAGGCCATGATGCACATCCAGTCCTTTCAGTACTTTGATTATAATGTTGTTTTGTAGTGTTGGTACTGCAATAAGATGTTATACAACAACATTAAGGCGATGATGCACATTCAGGGCCACATAGACTCCAGTAAACAACAGAATATAGACCTGAGTGACCTGACCCAGTGTAAACATTGCTACAGACAGTTTGATACACCATTCGAGATGCAAACACACGTGGAAAAGGTAACAAATCTTTATCATTGATTGAATTTTATTAAGATTAAATGCACTACTACAAATTATTCAGTACCTGAAAGTATGGTAAGCCACACAGACTTTATTATTTGAGGGCTTTGATTTAGGTCATAGTGATGAATAACATGAATATGTTGATGTGTGTATTTATAGGTACATATGAATAATGTGAACATGTTGATGTGTGTATTTATAGGTGCATTTGAATAACGTGAATGTGTTGATGTGTCTATTTATAGGTACATATGAATAACGTGAACGTGTTGATGTGTCTATTTATAGGTACATATGAATAACGTGAACGTGTTGATGTGCCGTATTTGTGAGCGGGACCACCAGTCTCGTCAAGCTCTAATGACCCACATGCGTGTCAACCACAATGCATGCGAGATGCCCTACATTTGTCATCTCTGTAAATTCCGGTCATCCATGTACAGTGATGTCGTGGATCATTTCAAAAAGGTTAGTAAGAATGACCTGCTTAGGTCAAGGTCATGACATTTAGTTAAGCAAGGCAGGTTCTTGTTATTTTTTTTTTCCACACATTGTAAGCTTTTTACTCTCACTGTTTATTAATTACTTTTACTGTTAATTAATTACTTTCACTATAATAGATTTCTCTCACTGTTGTTAATTACTCTCATGGTATTTAACTTCATTTCAGAAACACGACAGCTCGCAGCATATTCTATGTCTATACTGCCTGAAGGTGTTCGCCGTTAAGTTCGTGTCCCAGGGGTGGGGCCAGACTCAGACTTATTATGGACATCTCCTCAAGCATCAGTCCAAGTCCAACAGCAAGAAGTGTACCTTCTGTAGGCTGACATTCGTCAACCCCGCGGACTGTAAAACCCACAAAAAGAAGGACCACGCAGCCAATCAGAAGGGCATAGGTAAGTTATATATAGTACATGTAGACTAATGTTTGTTAAACCTGTGTATTGTAAGACCCCACAAGAAAAAAAAATAAAACACACTGGAAATCAAAGAGGTTAAAATGTTTTTGTTAAAGTACAACCCTGGTGCCAACAGAAAAAGATAGTGATATTCAGGGGTTTTGAGATGTTGAATATGAGATACCAATTCATAATACATTTACATGTACTTAGGACTCACTCTGACATAATTATCCTAGATATTTGACAAACCTCATGAGAGAAATATCATTTTCAGAAAAATACATTTATCTCCCTTGACTTTATGATTATATGTCAGATATCTTCTTTATAATGTCTTCTCTGTAATTATTCTTTTTCGCTGTAGACTATTCTATTTACTAGTCTATACTCGTTTACAGTTTACACACTCTTCTATTCTAGTTGACGGTAAACATACTATTCTATTCTTGTTTACAGATAACATACTTTTCTATTATGTACTTGTACATTTGATATACTATTCTACTGTAGACTCCAGACCCAGTATGTATGGACAGGACATGATGATCAAGGTTCCAGATTCTGGACTCTCCAGCAAACAGGCCCTGAAGTCTCTGAATGCCCCCGCTGTCAGTAAAGTTCTTGACTTTGGGGGAACACGATTCCCGTACGCCGTCAATTATAACAGTTGTGTGGAGTGTAAAACAGTAATGGGGACGCCGGATCATTTCAGGTAAATCATGTAAAACGGTCAAGGGGAGGCCAGATCATTTCAGGTAAATCAGTCAAACAAAAAAATATATTGACCTTCTCAGATATTGACCTTGTCAGGTATTGACCTTGACAGATATTGACCTTGTCAGGTATTGACCTTGTCAGATATTGACCTTGTCAGATATTAGGACACCTGTGGTTATCCTGGATTTGATGTAAATACAGACAAGAGATTTACTTCAGAAAAATATCCTGTTATTTAAAAATGGACACAAGATTTCCTGTGTAATGCAGGTGTCCTATTCTTATGAACTGCGGACTTTTACAGATGTTTGAGTAATACAGAAATATGCAAACAAAGTTTTTGTCCTCCTCATTTTTTTTAACAACTTGGGAAATTTTCTTCCACAACTTTATTGATTCCAGAGTACTGAATGATATTCTCATTGTGGTTAATGCAAACCTGTTAAAGCTGTTGGCTTCAGGCAATAGAGCACAATAAGCTGTTCCCAGAACCGAGGGAAATACATTACACACCTATTTACTGGCTGAGGAGAATGGCAAATTTATTGTTCCCCAAGACAGCAACTATTTCCCAAGGCGCAGCGAACTGCAATAGTTGCTGTTGAAGTGGACAATAAATTTGCTATTGTCTGAATAGTAAGTAAAGAGGTGTTTTATTATACCAATTGAAAGTAGACTTAACTTGAGTTATGTTATGATGCCCTCGGCCTCAGGGTGTATGGAATAAAACCTGTGGTAAATCCCCGTTCACCCTTGATTGAACCTGGGTAACTTATAGTATACTATATGTAGGCATTATACAACTGTATACTGTATAGCACTTTTTGTGTGTGTCATTGTAGGAAGCACATAGAATGTTCCATGTGTAGATTTGCCACCAGTTGTAGCATCGCTTACGCCAATCACATGATGGGATTTCACTCTGGCCAAATGTCCAGCCTCAATCTGAATATACCGTGGGAACGACCAATGAAGGAGCCCATGCACTGTCTCTGTGGATTTGTTAGTCGCTATGGGAACAAAATTGGTCAGTCACTTGAAATGTCAAAATTATTTAAAAAATTTTAATGAATACATTGAATTCTCGATACAATTTTGGCTGAGCTTTATATATAGGCAAGTAACAGAGAAATGTATGACACTATATTAGGACTTTTGTATACACATTTAAATTACAGTGTTATCATTGGCATTCATTGGTCAGTTTATGGAACTATTTTGTATCTTGGCAATTCCTGATTGGTCAGTTATTATCATGATGAGTTTTCATTGGTTTACAGCAAATCACCTGGTGTACTGTACAAAGAGGTCCTGTTATAGCACCAAGCCAGCCCCAGTCGTTAGAGAGATGGAAGGTCAGAACTTGAACTTTGCTTCATCTAATATTATTTTAGGTTAAAAGTTCATGAAAGATTCAATTATGTTAAGGAATTCCATCCTTAAATTAAGCTTAAAAGTACCATTTATGAACATTTTCACTTCTACAGAATATAAAATGACAAGATATTTTTATTGAAGTTTTGTGTATTAAATGACATTATTTGAGTGATGTATAATAACCAAGAATTATTGTTAGCTCAAGAGGATACAGACCCAAGGTATAAAGCTGGGGCCTCACTATTGGACGCTCTGGGGCTTGTTAAGAAGAAGAACGTTTCCACAAGTAAGTCACTCAGATCTCAATGTGTTGTTGAATTATGGGGGAAATACTGGTTATGTGGTGATATCTATTATTAGTATGTTCCACTATCCAGTGTTTTATGAAACACTATCAAGCTAAGTCTAGCTTTTTGATCAACAGTTTGTTTAGTTGTCTCTAGAAAAACAACATTTAAAGACTCCACTAAGATTGTGGGTCCATGACAAGAAAATTTAAGGTTCTTGTCTGTTAGACATATTTTTTGTTAATAAAGATGACATCATTTTTGAAAACTTTTAAACTTTCGGTCATTTTCCAACCGGACATTTGCTATCGATATTGGGTTGCATGTACAAGCAGAAGTTGGAACCATTCCAGATATCTGAATTATTATATATGTATTGTAAGTATAGCTTTCTTGTTTTACCATGAGAACAAAATTGAAAAGGTACAGTTAATTCTCGATAAACTGCTGCCTTTTGTGATTTAAAAATCATGGCGGTATAATGAATTTGGCGATGAATTGAATTCCCCATCTTTGGGGAAAGAAGAAATAGAGTTATATAAAAACATATTTGAAAATGCTTCAAGTAATTTTTTCTTATGTACAATAATTTTGTTTTAAAACAAAATACACAATTATGAAATAAAGACGTAAATGCTCATGCATGTAAACAATGGTAAATATGCACGTCTGATATTAAAAAGAAACAATGCTGTGTCGAACATCGTGATCTATTACCGATAGTATGTAAAATGAATTCGTGTAAATACATTTGTTTATGGCATCGCTGTTGCTAAAACTTTCGCAATTAATACTGTATCATTATTTTCATAGAAAACTTTGAATTGTTTGAAGTAGGGATCATCGAAATTATATTGTTGTCGGCGAACTTTAACAACAACCGCTTTTGTGGCGAAGCCATGACTAAATCATTTTTATTCAACAGAAAACAAAATTATAATAACAGATGACGTTAAAAATTATTGTTTATTTAATTCTTTAATTACATGTACCTTGTCTGGCTTTACAACAGTGATCTTAGATAGCGTCAACTAATTAGCCACTTCACCGACCACATGCACCTGTGGCCGTATATCGAGATAATTGACACTTAGAAATGGACGTTTGTTGTGAAAACAGGGTGGCGGATGGCGGTATGCGAATTTGGCGTTATAAAGAGAATTTTATATAGCAGGAAAAACGTTCTTGGAAAATCGTGGCATTATTGCGAGAATGACGATGAATCGAATGGCGATAATTCGAGAATTGACTGTATTACATAATTTGTTAACTGCAGTAGAATTTTGAAATATTTGTATTTTTTGTAAATTAATTTTTATACAAGTTAAAGATGAAATCTGGTGGTGACCAGGTGACCAAACTCTGAAAATTCTTGTTTGTTTTGAATTCTTGTTTAGTTATGTGAATTAAGGGATTCCAGCAAATTGTTACAACCAGGATATAGGAATGGAGGAGTTGTCTGCCCTGAATGGGAAGAGTGAGTATTTTATACATGGTGCTTTTATATCTTTACAATTACTCTGTCATTTTTAGCCAATATTTACCCAATCCTAACAACAAGCATACGTGTGACTGGTCAACAGGGGATGCTTACTCCTCCATGGCACCTGATCCCATCTCTGATGTTTTTTTAAATATTCGTGCTAGGTCTGCTCCAAATTTGTATTGTTTCAATGGACTTTTTGGATTGATTACCGTTCGTTATCTTCAAAAATTCACTACATTTACTGACATAAAACTTGTACTTTACATACTACTTCTGCAGGTTTTTTTGCTGGCATAAGAAATGTCTAAAAACTTTTTTAAAAAAGCTGTCTCTAAGTTGTGGGATTTAAGGGTCATATCTGCTTAGGAGCACATTGTAATTCTTCCATTAACAGCTTCACTGTTTATGTGACTTACAACTTGCTCCTAAGTCCCAAAAACTAGACAGTTATTTCTTAAATAACAAGTCAGTTTGAGAGAAAATTTGGAGAAGAAATGCAAATACTTTTATGGTTCAAAAGTACATGTATAACTGGAGAAATATTATTCATGGAGGAAAATGTTGATGGATATCACCACATTAACCAGTTTACATATATGTATATCTATAGAATTTTTTTTTTAATCTTGTTGGAAATTTGATCAAGGATAAGCTTAAGAGTGCAATAGCCATATTTGATGTGACCAAAACATGCTTGCACTTAGTACATGGTTATGCATTCATGATACATAAAAACAGCACTATACATCAGATAAAGTAAAAATATTTAATGCTTTATTACATCATTAAATTCCGAAAAATTTGAGAAATTTTTGTGAAAGCATGAATTCTGTATATCCATATTGGAAATATTTGTATTACATTTATATTCTGCACTTGTAAATGACTCTTAATATATGGAGAAGTACTTGTGTTTTGTTTCTCTCTTCAGGTTCATTTGAAAACAAGATGAAAGATATAACTGCATTTGAAGAAGACTTTGAGAGAACGGTTCCTGAAGCATTGGATGAAGGTGTGAAAATAAAGGAGGCAAGTGAAGAGGTTGAAAATGAAGCTTTAGCAAGCAAGGAATCTGTAATTGAAACTACAGCAAAGGAGAAATCTGAAAGTGAGGCTGAAGCAAAGAAGAATTCTGAAATGGAGGCTGAAGTAAACAAGGTATCTGAAAGTGAGGCTGCAACAAAGGAGAAATTTGAAAGTGAGGCTGAAGCAAACAAGGGCTCTGTAAAGGCTGCAGGAAATGAGGGTTCTAAATGTGAGGCTGCTACATATGATGATTCTGAATGCAAGGCTGAAGAACACAGAGCGAATGATAGTGAGGCTACAGGGAGGTTAATGAAGGTATGAGAGATAAGTCCAATTAGATACCAGGTAAGCCCACTTGCCCAAAAATGCAAAAAGATTAAACATATACTCTTCAGGATATATGATTGATTTTTTTTTCATTTTAACAGAATACAGAACAACTGAATGATGATAAAATGAACTTTGAGATAAGTGGTAAGACTAACAAGTACTGTTTATCACTCTTTAATGATATAGTTATTGATATGACTGAATCTGAATCACTTTAAGAAATTATTTTAAATAATGCCTCACTTCTTTCTGTGAAAAAGAGGTATTTGTGGATTTCTGAAAAATATTATGTTTCATTATGCAGAATTATTGACATATTTTTTGAATTATAATAAAAAAATGTAATTTACTAATTATAGAACTTTTTTTCAGATGTGCTTGTGAAGTTAGAAAATTTGGAACAGGTAATAAAAATAACTGTCACAAATCAACAAATAAATTTATAAGTTATTATTTTTAGTACAAGAATTTGAAAAGCTAAATGCAGACAGTGAAGGGAGTGTCAGTTATGTAACAGGGTAAAATATAAAAATAAATCAATCATCGCAAAGAACATTTTGTTTGATATTTATTTAAGTGTGAAATTCCTTTTTACAGTGTGGAGAGAATAAAGATTTTGAAGATCCATGTCATCATCCAAATCCTCATCCAAGTCCAGGGGAAGACAATTATCCTCAGCTACAGGAGGACAGGATCAACATGAGATGTGAAGGTGTGACCTTTCATTTGATGAATTGTAATGGACAATCTTGATGTCACCTATACTAGCATATTTCTAAGATTTCAGAATATACAAGAATGGTTGATGTGATGTGCACTAAATTTGTGAGCAGGTTCTTCCTGCATAAATGCCCCCCCCCCCCCTTTCCAATAGGTATAATTATGTTTGGTGGCAATATGAATGCCCCTACCCTTTCCTATTGGTATATTTATGTTTTGTGGCAATATGAATCCCCCTACCCTTTCATATAGGTATATTTATGTTTGGTGGCAATATGAATGCCCCTACCCTTTCATATAGGTATATTTATGTTTGGTGGCAGTATACATAATACATGAGATGAATCTTCTTGCCTAATTGCCCCCTTTAGTATCAAGACCTTTGTACTCAGTAAAAGTGATTATTTATATTTATATTGCATATTATTATATGGTTTAATTACACTAATTATACCAGCATTGTTAATGTAAAATGTAAAGGCATTAGTCATTGGGGAGAGATATTTCACAAAATATTTTTCTTAACGTAAGTCTGCATTTAGAGTAATATTCACAAATTGAATGTTAGTTCCATAGGTACACAATTATATTTAACATGTACATCATGACATCAGTGTAATGGTGATATAAATTTTGTTTCTAGGTATAACACAAAGCTTTTTAAAGGAGTCTCTACCAAGGAAAGTACAGAGCCAAGCTAAACAAGAGGAATTTATTGAGAGAGAAAATGTACCCTCTCTTCAGCCCACAAAAGCTGAAAATTCTCCAACAGAGAAAGGCAAAACAGTGAGTGATGAGAGCTTGGGGACAGAAAGACAGGAAGAATATGATCAAAGGAATTTCTCCACAGAACATTCAAACAAGAATGATTTCTCACTTAGTAATGGAAAATCCAATACAGAAATACCAAATGTAGTTAATATTAGGAATTCCTCAATGGAAAAGAAGGATAAAACTGAAGAAGCTGATAATGAAAATTCCTCTACAAAACAACCAGATATATCACACAGTAGAAGTATCCCTACAAAACTGACAAATATATCTGATAATCTGGATCAGGATTCCTCAGGCATTAGCACTTTAGAGACAAGCAATGAAGGACAGAAGGGATATGTTAGTGATAAAATGCTTCCCCCAGAAGAGAATATAATACAAGGAGCAGACAAATCCTCTGGCATTAATATGCAGTGTTTAAGTGATGATGTGGTGGAGGACGATGTTAGCCAAGGTCAGGGAGAAACAGGTGATGAGGAACAAAACTCTTCATTCTAAAATTAAGCAGTAAATGTAACTTGAGCAAGGGAATGAATTGAATTGATTTTATAACTACAGTTGAACTTCGGTATCTGGAACACGGATATCTTGAATACCATGGATATGTTGAAGTGATTTGGGAGTCCCAACTACTTATTCTTTAAGTATTTTACCCTGGATATCTCGAATCCTCAGATATCTCGAAGTTTTTTCTAGGCCTCATCGAGTTCGAGATAACGAAGTTTGACTGTATATTGCAAATCAGGGAAATTATTGCACATTTTGTTCTTGTTCAGTGGATGAATTCAAACTTTAAATATTTTTCAGATTAAATGGATAAAGAGAGATAACTTCATTAAATATTGTTAAGTGGAAATGAGCACAGAGAGAAAATTTGTTTGAATTATGTAATTAAAGGCTCAGCAGAAAGGGTTTGTAAATTTGTTAAGTCCCTGTAATATTTTTGTCTGCTAAGAAGAATCAGAAATTAATTCACCACATTAAGACAATGAACAAAAAGAGGTATCTACTGTCGAACTAAGATAAATAATCTCCCTTGTTTTTCACACCAAAGTGCAACATGGAACTAGATATATTTTTTCTTCATATTTTTAGGCAGCTCAGCAGAAGAATTAGCACAAAGAAAATTACATAGTGAAAGGAAATATAAAGGACATAGCATGAAAGAAAACTTACCCTTGCTCAATCCCTCAAATTATGATGTTGGAAATTCCCCTCCAGACCAGTTTGCATCAGCTGTAACTGAAAGTTCCCATAGGGAAGAGACAAGCAATGAAGATCTTGATGGTGAAGTTACTGAAGATGGTGGTGATGATGAGGAAGAGGATGGTATTCCTTCAGAAGAGAATAAAAAGAGACATCCAAGTAATGAAAAAGAGGAGAAGGTTGATATTGAAGATGACGGGGGAGATAATTTTGTTGGAGTTGAGGAAGAGACGATGAGTGGAGACTATCATCAGTTAGAGGAGATGATTAATAGAGCAGAGGACAATCCAAGTGTAGATGATATATACAACAGAAAAGTTATGAAAAACAAGGATCAAAGTCACAGCAAGGATGATGTTCCTGAGGAGAATAGAAGACAGGCACTGGACAATTTGTATGGAAGTAACATTCCACATCAGAGTCATGAACTTGTTGAGGATGTCAGCGATGATGATGAGGTTGATGATGATGAGGGGGAAGAGGATGATGTTCCTTCACAGGAGAATGGTGGGAAGGAACTGGACAATTTGTATGAAAGAAGGAATCCACATCAAAGCCATGAACTGGTTGAGGAAGTTGTTAGTGAGGATGGCAATATGGATATCTATAAATGTGATAATACTGATGAAAAAGGAGATGATGAGGTGATAAATGATGATGATTTTCCCTCAGAGGAGACCATTGTTAGGGCAGAAGACAATCCAAAGATTTACATCAAAAAAGTTTTGAAGAGCACAGACAACAGCAATAGCAATCAACCAACGAAGAAACTAGATCGTGTGTATAATCAAAAACACTGTTGCTTTATATGCCAGAAAATGGTGCTTCATCTGCCAGACCATCTCTGGAGGTGTCACAAATCACACCCTGTTGTCAAAGAAGCACTGAGCAGTAATCGGAAAGGAAGGTTTGACCAGATACGGGCAAAGGGAGATCACTTACACAACATAAAAGTGGTGAAAGAAGGGAAAGGGGAGCTAATTCTCTCACGCAGAAGAGGAAGTTTCAATTCCCAAGAATTTGGACCTTGTCCCGAGTGCCTGGAATGGATGCATCTGAAATCTATTGATATACACTACAGAAAATTTCATAAACATTGCAAAATGTTCAGAAAATTGAAAAGCGGTTCCACTCTTGTTGACAAGAAGCAACACACTGTTCCAGTCTCTACCCCATCAGCACAAGTGTTGCAGAACAAGTCAGGTAATACATGTAGGTTTAGAATGTAAGCATTTGGATAAAAGAGACAAAATGTCTTGTGCTAAAGTTGAGCAAATCTTGTACCTTTGATATACGTATAGGGTGGGCATTAGTGGTCAGGAATAGATTTCAAAAATTTATTTACAAAGGGAAAATTCCAACTGCATTTATTGATTCTTTTGCCCTAGTCCACTGGTAAAATATACAACAGGGCGAAAATATGCAAGAGGGACAACAATGGCATTGAAGATGTATAATAACATTGTGTAGAAAGAATAACAAAAAGAGGAAAAATATTATTAAGGGGGACATGCCATGCTAGTGGAGATAAGTTGATTTATTACAAACTTAACCCCCCCCCCCCCTCCTGGCCATCTCTAAGTAATATCTATTTTAAGAAATGTTCTTATATATACATTTTACCATTACTTAGAATGAATGAACTAAGAGATGTAATGAACTGTTGTTAGAGGGATAACTTCATAATGATGTGATTTCAAACTCATTGAAAACCTTTTAAAACTTGGTTATGTTCCTTTATTCCTTTAAATCTTTTATCCAATCACAAGATTCAGATATAATTTTGTCAAATTAAGTCAAATCCCCTTCTTTCTCTTTTTTAAGTAATGTCTGTTTTATGAAATTTAGTTTTTTTAGCTCACCTGAGCCGAAGGCTCAAGTGAGCTTTTCTGATCACATTTTGTCCGTCGTCCGTCCGTCCGTCTGTCTGTCTGTCCGTCCGTCTGTAAACTTTTCACATTTTTGACTTCTTCTCAAGAACCACTGGGCCAATTTTGACCAAACTTGGTACATAGCATCCTTGGGTGAAGGGGAATTTAAATTGTTAAAATGAAGGGCCAAGTCCCCTCACAAGGGGAGATAATCAAGAGAAGACAAAAATAGGGTGGGGTCATTAAAAAATCTTCTTCTCAAGAACCACAGGGCCAGTAAAGCTGAAACTTATATGGAAGCATCCTGGGGTAGTGTAGATTCTAAATTGTTCAAATCATGACCCCCGGGGGTAGGGCGGGGCCACAATGTGGAATCAATGTTTTACATAGAAATATATAGGAAAAATCTTTAAAAATCTTCTTCTCAAGAACCACTGAGCCAGAAAAGCTGAAACTTATGTGGAAGCATCCTGGGATAGTGTAGATTCTAAATTGTTCAAATCATGACCCCCGGGGATAGGGCAGGGCCACAATAGGGAATCCAAGTTTTACATTGAAATATATAGGAAAAATCTTTAAAAATCTTCTTCTCAAGAACCACTGAGCCAGAAAAGCTGAAACTTATGTGGAAGCATCCTGGGATAGTGTAGATTCTAAATTGTTCAAATCATGACCCCCGGGGGTAGGGCAGGGCCACAATAGGGAATACAAGTTTTGCATTGAAATATATAGGAAAAATCTTTAAAAATCTTCTTCTTAAGAACCACTGAGCCAGAAAAGCTGAAACTTATGTGGAAGCATCCTGGGGTAGTGTAGATTCTAAATTGTAAAAATCATGACCCCCTGGGGTAGGGCGGGGCCACAATAGGGAATACAAGTTTTACATTGAAATATATAGGAAAAATCTTTAAAAATCTTCTTCTCAAGAACCACTGAGCCAGAAAAGCCGAAACTTATTTGGAAGCATCCTGGGATAGTGTAGATTGTAAATTGTTCAAATCATGACCCCGGGGGATAGGGCGGGGCCACAATAGGGAATCCAATTTTTACATTGAAATATATAGGAAAAATCTTTAAAAATCTTCTTCTCAAGAACCACTGAGCCAGAAAAGCTGAAACTTATGTGGAAGCATCCTGGGATAGTGTAGATTCTAAATTGTTCAAATCATGACCCCCGGGGGTAGGACAGGGCCACAATAGGGAATACAAGTTTTGCATTGAAATATATAGGAAAAATCTTTAAAAATCTTCTTCTCAAGAACCACTGAGCCAGAAAAGCTGAAACTTATGTGGAAGCATCCTGGGATAGTGTAGATTCTAAATTGTTCAAATCGTGACCCCCGGGGGTAGGGCAGGGCCACAATAGGGAATACAAGTTTTGCATTGAAATATATAGGAAAAATCTTTAAAAATCTTCTTCTCAAGAACCACAGAGCCAGAAAAGCCGAAACTTATGTGGAAGCATCCTGGGATAGTGTAGATTCTAAATTGTTCAAATCAGGACCCCCGGGGGTAGGGCAGGGCCACAATAGGGAATACAAGTTTTGCATTGAAATATATAGGAAAAATCTTTAAAAATCTTCTTCTCAAGAACCACTGAGCCAGAAAAGCCGAAACTTATGTGGAAGCATCCTGGGGTAATGTAGATTTTAAATTGTTCAAATCATGACCCCCGGGGGTAGGGCGGGGCCACAATAGGGAATCCAAGTTTTACATTGAAATATATAGGAAAAATCTTTAAAAATCTTCTTCTCAAGAACCACTGAGCCAGAAAAGCTGAAACTTATGTGGAAGCATCCTGGGATAGTGTAGATTCTAAATTGTTCAAATCAGGACCCCCGGGGGTAGGGCAGGGCCACAATAGGGAATACAAGTTTTGCATTGAAATATATAGGAAAAATCTTTAAAAATCTTCTTCTCAAGAACCACTGAGCCAGAAAAGCTGAAACTTAAGTGGAAGCATCCTGGGATAGTGTAGATTCTAAGTTGTTCAAATCAGGACCCCCGGGGGTAGGGCAGGGCCACAATAGGGAATACAAGTTTTGCATTGAAATATATAGGAAAAATCTTTAAAAATCTTCTTCTCAAGAACCACAGAGCCAGAAAAGCCGAAACTTATTTGGAAGCATCCTGGGGTAGTGTAGATTTTAAATTGTTCAAATCATGACCCCCGGGGGAAGGGCGGGGCCACAATAGGGAATCCAATTTTTACATTGAAATATATAGGAAAAATCTTTAAAAATCTTCTTCTCAAGAACCACTGAGCCAGAAAAGCTGAAACTTATGTGGAAGCATCCTGGGGTAGTGTAGATTCTAAATTGTTCAAATCATGACCCCCGGGGGTAGGACAGGGCCACAATAGGGAATACAAGTTTTGCATTGAAATATATAGGAAAAATCTTAAAAATCTTCTTCTCAAGAACCACTGAGCCAGAAAAGCTGAAACTTATGTGGAAGCATCCTGGGATAGTGTAGATTCTAAATTGTTCAAATCAGGACCCCCGGGGGTAGGGCAGGGCCACAATAGGGAATACAAGTTTTGCATTGAAATATATAGGAAAAATCTTTAAAAATCTTCTTCTCAAGAACCACAGAGCCAGAAAAGCCGAAACTTATGTGGAAGCATCCTGGGGTAGTGTAGATTCTAAATTGTTCAAATCATGACCCCCGGGGGTAGGGCGGGGCCACAATAGGGAATCCAATTTTTACATTGAAATATATAGGAAAAATCTTTAAAAATCTTCTTCTCAAGAACCACTGAGCCAGAAAAGCTGAAACTTATGTGGAAGCATCCTGGGATAGTGTAGATTCTAAATTGTTCAAATCAGGACCCCCGGGGGTAGGGCAGGGCCACAATAGGGAATACAAGTTTTGCATTGAAATATATAGGAAAAATCTTTAAAAATCTTCTTCTCAAGAACCACAGAGCCAGAAAAGCCGAAACTTACGTGGAAGCATCCTGGGGTAGTGTAGATTTTAAATTGTTCAAATCATGACCCCCGGGGGTAGGGCGGGGCCACAATAGGGAATCCAATTTTTACATTGAAATATATAGGAAAAATCTTTAAAAATCTTCTTCTCAAGAACCACTGAGCCAGAAAAGCCGAAACTTATGTGGAAGCATCCTGGGATAGTGTAGATTCTAAATTGTTCAAATCGTGACCCCCAGGGATAGGGCGGGCCACAATAGGGAATGCAAGTTTTACATTGAAATATATAGGAAGAATCTTTAAAAATCTTCTTCTCAAGAACCACTGAGCCAAAAAAGCTGAAACTTATGTGGAAGCATCCTGGGATAGTGTAGATTCTAAATTGTTCAAATCATGACCCCGGGGGTAGGGCGGGGCCACAATAGGGAAACATTGAAATATATAGGAAAAATCTTTAAAAATCTTCTCAAGAACCACTGGACCAGAAAAACTGAAACTTATGTGGAAGCATCCTGGGATAGTGTAGATTCTAAATTGTTAAAATCATGACCCCCGGGGGTAGGGCGGGGCCACAAAAGGTATTACAAGGGGGGAAGTCTGGTAATGAACAGCATGGCCAAAGTTACTCAGGTGAGCGATGTGGCCCATGGGCCTCTTGTTTCTAAGAAGCACTCACTGCACTGTGTCTCAATTTTTATAATTTGTTTCAGTTACCTCAATTGAAGAATCATCACTTACAAAATTACATAGCGAAAATGAATATGAGGAGATTACCAAGAAAGAAAACTCTTCCTCTATTAATCCCTCACAATCTAATGTTGGAAATTCCCCTCGTGTTGAGTTGACATCAGCTGTTACTGAGAGTTCTCATGGAGGAGAGACCGATAGAAATGATGTTTATAATTCATCAAAAGGAATGCAAGATGTTGCAATAAATAAAAATTTTCAAACGAAGCATACATTTGTAGCTGAAAAAGAGTTGTCTGAAAAACAACTGAATGAAAGTGATTTCTTGGAACCACCAACTGCAACCGTAGAGTTAAATCTAAGCATGACACAGCAAAGCAGTGAAGATCTGGGAGAGGATGATTGTGATGATGTCAGTGATGATGATGATATTGATGATGAGGGGGAAGAGGATGATGTTCATTCACAGGAGAATGGTGGGAAGGAACTGGACAATTTGTATGAAAGAAGCAATCCACATCAAAGCCATGAACTGGTTGGGGAAGTAATAACTGAAAATAACAATATTGATGTCTCTGAATGTGATGATGCTGATGAAAGAGGGGAGGAGGAGGAGGAGGTGATGGGTGATGATGATTTTCCCTCAGAGGAGACCATTGTTAGGGCAGAAGACAATCCAAAGATTTACATCAAAAAAATTCTGAAGAGCACAGACAGCAGCAATAGCAATCAGCCAACAAAGAAACTAGATCGTGTATATAATCAGAAGCACTGTTGTTTTATATGCCGGAAAATGGTGCTTCATTTGCCAGATCATCTCTGGAGGTGTCATAAATCACATCTGGCTGTCAAAGAAGCTCTGAGCAGTAATCAGAAAGGAAGGTTTGACCAGATACGGGCAAAGGGAGATCACTTACACAACATAAAAGTGGTGAAAGAAGGGAAAGGGGAGCTAATTCTCTCACGCAGAAGAGAAAGTTTCAATTCCCAAGAATTTGGACCTTGTCCCGAGTGCTTGGAATGGATGCATTTGAAATCTATTGACAAGCACAACAGAAAATTTCATAAGCATTGCAAAAAGTTCAGAAAATTGAAAAGCAGTTTTGTTGACAAGAAGCAACACACTGTTCCAGTCTCAACTCCATCAGTGTTACAGAACAAGTCAGGTAATACATGTAGGTTTAGAATGTTAGCATTTGGATAAAAGAAACAAAATGTCTTGTGCTAAAGCTGAACAAAATCTTATACATTTGATATAGGTATAGGGTGGAGATAATTGGTTAGGATAGATTTTAATTTTTTTTTTTTTCATATGGAAAATTTCAACCCCATTTTATTATTGATCCTTTTGATCAAGTTCACTGGCGAAATGCACAAAAGGACAAACATTTTCAAGAGGGACAATAGAATGGTGGATCTTTATAACAGAGTGTTAGGAAAGAATGGTCAAGGAGAGAAAATTAAATAATGTTAAAGGGAATATGCCATGCTAGAGGAGGTAACTTGATATGATTTATTACAAACCCAAGAGTCTTTGTTAATTTTGTTTATCTGTTGAGTTTGAACCCCCCCTCCCCTTTTTTCCTTGCCATCTCTAGGTAATATCTGTTTAAGAAATTTTGTTACATGCGTTTTACCATTATTAAGAAAGAATAAACAAGGAGATATAATAAACTGTTGTTAGAGGGATAACATTATAATGATGTCATTACAAATCCTTTAGAATGTTTTATGTTCCTTTGAATTGTTTTGTCTGCTCAGAAAAACTGGATATAATTTTGTCACATTAAGACACTCCCAGGTCCCCTCTTTAAGTAATGTCTATTTTATGGGACTTATTTGTATCCTACCTAAGAAGCACTGTTTATCATAATTTTTATTAATTTTTTAGTTACCTCACTTGAAGAATCAGCAGTTACAAAATTACATAGCAAAAATAAGTTTCAGAAGCTTTCCAAGAAAGAAAACTCTTCCTCTATTAATCCCTCACAATCTGATGTTGGAAATTCCCTTCCTGATGAGTTGACATCAGCTGAAACTGAGAGTTCTCATGGAGAAGAGACGTATAGAAATGATGTTGGTAATTCATCAAGGAGAATCCCAGATGTTGCTATCAATCAAAATTTTCAAACAGAACATAAAGCTGTATCTGAGAAGGAGTCTTCTGAAAAACATCTGAATGAAAGGAATTTCGCAGAACTACCAACTGCAACTGTAGAGTTAAATTTGTCCTATCTAAGCATGACACAGCCAAGCAGTGAAGATCTGGGAGAAGATGTTAGTGATGATGTCAGTGATGATGATGATAGTGATGAGGAGGAGGACGAGGATGATGTTCTTTCACAGGGTAGGAAGGAACTGGACAATTTGTTTGGAAGTAGCATTCCAATTCAAAGCCATGAACTGGTTGGGGAAGTAATAACTGAAAATGATAATATGAATGTCTCTGAATGTGATGATGCTGATGAAAGAGGGGAGGAGGAGGTGATGAGTGATGATGATTTTCTCTCAGAGGAGACCATTGTTAGGGCAGAAGACAATCCAAAGATTTACATCAAAAAAGTTTTGAAGAGCACAGACAACAGCAATAGCAATCAACCCACAAAGAAACTAGATCGTGTGTTTAATCAGAAGCACTGTTGTTTTATATGCCAGAAAATGGTGCTTCATCTGCCAGACCATCTCTGGAGGTGTCACAAATCACACCCTGTTGTCAAAGAAGCACTGAGCAGTAATCGGAAAGGAAGGTTTGACCAGATTCGGACAAAGGGAGATCATTTACACAACATAAAAGTGGTGAAAGAGGGGAAAGGGGAGCTAATTCTTTCACGCAGACCAGAAAGATTTATTTCTAAGGATTATGAGCCGTGTTATAATTGTTTGGAGTGGATGCATAAAGGGACTTTAAAAAAACATTTTAAAGCTGTTCATAGGGAACCTAAAGAAATAGACAGTGGCTATCCAGGGATGTTGAACGTATCTCATAATACACCAGTCTGTACAGAACCTACACAATTGCAGCACGATTCTGATAGTGTGTCTGAACAGGTAGAACTTATCTATTCTTACAATAAAAAGAGACAGGAACCAGCCAGGAAGTTGGACCATCAGCAATGGTCAAGTGAGGAGAAAAAGGAACTGGAGTTGTATTTTTGTGACTTCCTTGTGAAGAAGACTTGTCCTTCAAGAATCCAGTGCCTAGATATTATTGAGAGGAGCAAAGTAATGGGTGGTGTTTTACATATGCGAAGCTGGCAGAACATCACAAAGAAAATCTCGCAAGAAAACAAAGGAAACGGTAAAACTATTGAAACTGGAAATTTCCCTTTGAAGAGAAAAGCTAGCAAGTCAAAGTCTAGAACAAAGAGCATGAAAATATCATGGAAAAAAGCAATGAACAAGTCAATTCAGAAGTCACATAAAGTATTAGCACGTAAAAAGTCATCAAAAAAGGGATTTTCTCACAAGTCAAGAACTTTATCTGGAAAAAGTAACTGCGATTTGTCTATTACATTTAAACGAAAACGTTGGACAAAAGAGGAAGAGCGTGAACTAGACTTTTACTTTGGCAGATATTTTGCATCCAAAACTTGTCCATCAAAGAGGGAATGTATGAAGGTCATAGCTAAAAGTGCTGAATGTGGGGGAGTAATACATACCAGGTACTGGCAAAATATCATCAAGAAAATATCGTCTGAAAACAAGAAAAACAGAAAATCTGTAGATATGTCCACTCCGAATTTACATACGGAGGAATCAGAATTAAGTAGAACTGAAACGAGCATAGATGAATGTGATGAAAAAGTTGCAGAAACAGTAGGAGCTGGACAGAAAGTTGGCACATCAAACGCTGATCTGCCTCTTAAGTCAACCAGTAAACATGAGAAAGGGGATTCTGATAGTTTTTCCAACATTGTTGAGCGGAAGCTGTGGTCTAAAGAGGAAGTAAATGAATTACTACTCTATTTAGGAGAGTTCCTCACCACTAAAACTTGTCCTTCAAAAAAGCGGTGTTTGGAGGCCATAGAAAAGAGCAAACAGAACGGTGGAGTTCTTCAAAACAGATACTGGCACAACATAATCAAGAAGATATCCACTGAAAACAATAAAAAGCGAAAATCTGTAAGTAAACACATTGGAGATTCTGATAAAACTGAACGTACCACATCAGTGTTCAGCAAAGCTTCCAATGAAAGTTTGGGGAAATCATCAACAAGTGGACTAAATCAGAAACCAGGCAGAAAGTCTACAAGTGGTAAATCTGATGCCAATGACAATATATGTGAGAGAAAACGTTGGTCTTCAGAAGAAGAGCAAGAGATCAAGAAATATTTCAGCGAGTTTCTGTCTTCAGGGACTTGTCCATCTAAGAAGCAGTGTTTAAAGGCCATAGAGAAAAGCAAACAGAGTGGTGGAACTTTGCATACACGATACTGGCACAACATCGTAAAGAAAATATCCAATACAAATAGAAAAGCTTCCAAACTTGAAAATACAAATTGAATCTAATGCTCTCTTTGGGCTTGAAAATTGTATTAAAATTCCAAATGCATGTTTATACTCAGATACATATGTGTAGATGGGTTTTATGTAAGGAAATTGAATGTAAGATTTCTGTCTTGAAGGTTACAATAAATTTTGTGCTCCTTGATTGACTTAGCGTATTTAATTGATATATATAGTTTTCATTAAATTTTGATTCACTTGCAGTTGTGTAATAGTTTGAAATCCGACTTCCGGTTCAAACCCATTTAACACCTGGTAATTTGTAAACTCTGTGTATGATAAACAAAGTGCAAACTGCACTTAAATAATTTAATTCTTGAGTTTTTGTTACGTAAAATGTATGTAACAAAGTGGGATTACAAGAAAGAATATAATTACCTCTGAGTCTAAATTCATGCTTAAGAAAATTATTTGGATGCATTGTAGGAATACTCGAAAAACAATTAAGAATCTAACACTGATCATATTGAAAACCAGTTATCTTTGATTTTGGAGGATAATGCTTTCTCAGTTTCAAAACTCAGTTTGAAACAAACCAAGATATTTTTATCAACCTTCGTTTGTTTGTTTAACGTCCATCTCGAGAAGTTTACACTCATATGCAGACGCCACCACTTGCCGGTGGAGAGCTGCAGATTTTGACTTGTACTCGGCACTCAGGGCCATTGAGCAGTGAGGGATCTTTTTCGTGCCAGCACCTACTGCGACACGGGACATCGGTTTATATGGTCTCATTCGAAGGACCGGTCTCAACGTCCCACAGTGAGATTCAAACCCGCGACGTAAGGATCAACTCCTTACTCCATGCCTCTAGAGCGAACACTCATACTTCTGCGCCACCCGGGCGACTAATCAACCCTCGTAAGCTGATACATATTGTGGAGGACTGTATCAACAGTTTGTGACCATGACTTTTCTTTGACAAATTTGACCTAACTTTTATTAGTTTAGTGTTTAGCTCAGTTTCAAAGAAACTGTTCAAGACATAATTATCAAAAATTCATATGTTCATACAAATTGATAAGAGCTATTCAACTGCATCAACATTTTTTTTTTTACTTTTTAGCTCACCTGAGCCGAAGGCTCAAGTGAGCTTTTCTAATCGAAATTTGTCCGTTGTCTGTCGTCGTCGTTGGCGTTGTTGTCGTTGCCATGAAGTTTTCACATTTTCATCTTCTTCTCCAGAACTACTGGGCCAATTTCAACCAATCTTGGCACAAAGTATCCTTGGGTGAAGGGGATTCAAGTTTGTTCAAATGAAGGGCCACGCCCTTCTCCAAGGGGAGATAATTATGAAATAGCAAAAAATTAATGGCATTGAAAAATCATCTCCTGAAGAACCAAGGGGCCAGGAAAGATGAAACTCATGTGGAATTATTGTCAGGTAATGTAGATTCAAGTTTGTTCAAATCATGACCCCTGGGGGGTAGGGGCCACAATGGACGATCAAAGTTTTACATAGGAATATATAGGAAAAATCTTCTTAAGAACAGCAAAGCTATGATTGGTCATATTTATAAGGACGCATCCTCAGGTGGTGTAGATTCAAATTTGTCCAAATCATAACCCCCAGGGGCAGGGTAGGGCCACAATGGACGATCAAAGTATAACATAGGTGTATATGTAGGAAAAATCTTCAAAAATCTTTTTTTCAAGAACAGCAAAGCAGTGATTGGTAATATTTATGTGAAAGCATCCTCAGGTGGTGTGGGTTCAAGTTTGTTCAAATCATGACCCCGGGGCTAGGGTGGCGCCACAATGGACAATCAAAGTTTTACATAGGAATATATAGGAAAAATCTTCAAAAATCTTCTTCTCAAGAACAGCAAAGCTATGATTGGTCATATTTATGTGGAAGCATCCTCAGGTGGTGTAGATTCAAGCTTGTTTAAATCATAACCCCCAGGGGAAGGGTGGGGCCATATTGGACGATCAAAGTTTAACATAAATGTATATATTAAAAAATCTTCTCAAGAACAGCGAAGCTATGATTGGTTATATTTATGTGGAAGCATCCTCAGGTGGTGTAGATTCAAGCTTGTTTAAATCATCACCCCCAGGGGTAGGGTGAGGCCACAATGGACGATCAAAGTTTAACATAGGTGTATATAGGGAAAATCTTCAAAAATCTTCTCAAGAACAGCAAAGCTATGATTGGTAATATTTTTGTGGAAACATCCTGAGGTGGTGTAGATTCAAGTTTGTTCAAATCATGACCCCCGGGGCTAGGGTGGGGCCACAATGAACGATCACAGTTTTACAAAGGAATATATGGGAAAAATCTATAAAAATCTTCTCAAGAACAGCAAAGCCACTGTTTGTCATATATATATGGAAGCATCCTCAGATAGTGTAGATTCAAGTTTGTTCAAACCATGACCTCCAGGGGTAGGGTGGGGCCAAATGAAAGTTCAAACTTGTAGAGAAAAATGCCACAGTCAAAAAATTATGTAAGCATCCTTAGTAAGTGTTGATTTAATTTTGTTCAAATCATACCCCCACTCCCTTTTTGGGGTAGGTTGGGACCATTTATGCATTTAAGCTTTTCAATAGTAAACTGATTTTTTTTCTTTTTTTCCTAGCTACAGTGCTCAGCTGTGCGATGTGGCCCCTGGGCCTCTTGTTTTACCTTTACCTTTCCTTTTACCTTAATCCACTGTAAATCTTTTTTTATTCGCAAGAATTCTATTACGTGAGTCTGTTTTATTTTCTTCTCACGCATATTTCTATTGTAAAGGATTATATAACAAAAGGAACCGCAGCTCGCGATATTTTTGTCTCGTAATAAATACCAAATATCTAACTCGCGAAAATAAAGTGTCGCAAAATAAAGTGATTTACAGTCATCAATTTGCATTTAGCCCAGTTTCAAAGAAAATGTTTAAGATATTTTTTTTCATCAAACTTCATATGCTAAAAAATATTAGTGAGAGCTATTCAAGGTCTCACACAAGGAAATAATTTCACTATATGTTACTATGTAGCTTTAATTCAATTAATTAATTAATTAGACTCTCAGCAGATAATTCATGAAAGAGAAAATGAAGATAAATGCTGAGACAAAAATTTGAGATCAGAAAAAATACGCCTTATGCGGCTTTTAAGAAAGAAAATTGAGTGTAAACATACCTACCCTGAAATACACGTGGGTTTCACATGTTGACGAACAGCCTACACACCATCCAGGAAGTTGCATCATGCGCATCTAAAAAAGAGTTCCCTTTAATTCAGTGGCACAATTCTGCTAAAGATATGATATTCCTAGTACATGAGTCCAAAATCAAAACTGTAGACCTAAAAAAAAGTTGCCGAAAATGAAAAAAGAAAAAGAAATTGTCTCTATATATATAGAACTACAATTGACTAAGTTCATTTTGATTGGCTATTTCCTTGCATAAGACCTTTAACTTCATCAAAAACTATTAATCTTGAACTTTAATGTGACCTTCACCTCACTTTTCTTAAATTTGCATTTTGCTCAGTTTCAAGAAACTTTTCAAGTATTTTTAATTAAACGTATGCTTTAATACATAATTTGGTGAGAATTTTTCAATTATTCTAATTTTTTTTAACCTGACTTTTCCAGTGACCTTTGACGGCTTTGTTTATTGTCTATAAAACTTGGTTTTAAAGACCTGTTCAATATATTTTCATCAAACTTCATATTCTAATACAAATTATCATATTGCACTACAAATGAACCCTGGACGGGTATTCATGTCCTATGGATATATTTTTAGTTTGAATATCACTGTGATTGTCATTCAGAAATAGGTAAATAAAAGTAACGGAAATGGAGCAAAAACAAACCTTGCCGATATTGCTGAAAGGCATCAAACAATACAGGTCACTTGATGGCAGTACAAGCTGGACTTCTCATGAAGAGTACATAGTACAAAAGTAACGAAGGAAGAACAGTTATGATATGTTTATTAAATTCAGAGCACAAAACGCACCCTTCGATCTTGTATGCTTAAACCCTATTCTTTTGTTAACACAATTGAGCCAGCAATTCCTCACAGAATGATTTAGGTGAGCATGTGGTCTAATGGCATTTATTTTTAAACACTCCTATATTGTCAGAAGTTATCAGTTTTATGAACGAATTGCAGTGTTAAAATTTAATTTTGAAAAAAAAAATAATTAAACTTTTGAAGAGTTGAACTGATTAAGAGCTTTAAAAAGCTCCAGAAGGGGAATATTTTGAATTTTTTTTTCTTTTTTTATTTTATGCGCACAGAAGACAGAGGTAATTCTGGTGAGATATATATGTCATGTGATCATCTCTAGCTTCATTTTCTCATTATTTGATCAATGTGCAGATCCATGAAATTTTCCAGGGGAGAGGGAATGGGGTCCACACCCACTCAAGAAATAAATAAAAAAATGTAATAACAGTGATTCTAATACGCTTAGTTTGATCCTTTTTTGTGGATCTCTCTTGTTTTACCAAGAGAAAAATCCATCATAATTGACAACCACTGACTTGCTCAGCTTTGCTTTTGTATAATTACTTCAGCTTTTGCTTCTAACCTCTCTGTGTATTATTTTAGCATAATTGGATAGAATTGCACTTAGTTCTCCTCTTCAGGATCTAATAAATTCTTCATAGAGAGTGTGCCAGGATCTAATTAAGATAAAGAGTAATGTGTCTGAAAAACCAGAAAACAAGACTGTTCATTTCCTTGTCTCATCAACTTATTTGTCAATAGCTTGCCTCTACAAACAATACAAATCTGTGAGCAGAGCATAAAACATCAGTCCAAGAGGAATGTGTACTTCACAACAGAAAATTCCATACATACTAGTATTGCCAACCTAATATCTTAAGAACCATTTGCTTGACAGACAAACTGGCACCCTCTAAAGTAGATGTCATTATTGATATAGAGGTAAAGAAGAAAATATTTTTCGTTCAATATCTTGTAATCTCTGTGTAACAGACATTAAAAATCTGAACACTAATATCCCCTGTGGAATAGATAACCGCTCCCGGTATTAAATTCTGGATGAAATCAATCGGCAGTTTCACCTGCCTTATTGATTTTTCCTTTTTTTACTACCATTTAAGACATTCTGAATTTAAATTTAGTCCTGATTCTGGAAATATTTCTTGTTTAAATATCTCTATTCTGCACGCATGAATGAAATGAAATGTTTACAAAGAGTATTTTTTTTTTACTCATCTCATTTAATTACCTTGCAAGTTGGAATACCTCCTAAAGCAAACCTTTTGTTCATTAATTTTCTGTTTGTTTTGTTTATATATGATTTAGTTTTTTTTAATTAACTCAATCGTTGAAGTAGTTGAATCACAAGTGAAAATTGAACAACTCAAATAAACATGATAAATTTGAAGAAATAGAATGCACTGCTTATAACATCCATGAAAACGGATACATGCTGCTTGCTTTCACTTTAGTATATACATGCAGTTTACAAAACTGCTTACATGTATCTCTGCACTTCAATAAGTCATTTGTTTAAAATCAACTTTCCTTGTATTAATATGATATTGCTATTTTGTAATTTTTTTGAAATCTTTTATAACCTCTAAACGTATAAAATATATAATAACTATTTTGTGAAAAGTTTAAAGATGTACAATTAAAATGTATCAACATAAAGACTGTGTCAGAAATGTTATAAATCACATGGACATATTGTAAATAGATCCAGTTATTGGAATTTTGTGGCAATTTTAAAAAGAAAAAAAATAAATGTATTATTTTGAATATGACATTTTCAATTTTCCTAATTACTTTTTTTTTTAATTTAAGAAGAGAGATAAACTACTGCACATTATACCTTTTCTTGATTTTACATGTCATAGGGAAATGTTCTACAGGTCTTCCTATCTTATTATTTAAGAAAATTTATTTTGTCTGTTGAAGTATAACACATATTCATTTGAATAAGACTCAAGAACCCATGTACATGTATTTTTATTGCATATCATACATATTTTTAAGGTTCTGAAGCGTCTTTGAGTTACTAGTATGTGCCTCTCTTGTCTGACAGAGATTCAGAGAAGACGTTCCAGTGAAGAACCTTCTGAGGTCATCTGGAAATCTACGAAGGACTCCGGAATTCCAGCTACAGAGGAGGAAAGCCAGGAGAATGACGAGATTCCTCGGGAGCTGAAGGGAGCAGAGAAGTGGAAGACGGTAAAGATCCAAGATCCCAGCACTCCCTCCAAAGCTTCTGTGTTTCTAGGAGAGGCATCGGTAAGTCTCTTAACTAGGGAAAGTTCAAAGATTATACAGCACTCCAGAGTTTTTTTGTTACCGATGGGCTGATATTCTGAAATAGTCACCTGAGAAGCCATGTGGTATATGTATATTTAAAAATGTCTCGATAAAAATTGTCTTAATTGTTAAAATTTTGACAACTATTGCAAAGATGTTTTTGTGACGTGTTCAAATACGTTCCATTCTTCACATTTGCTGTCATTAAATCTCGAATCCGAGCTTTAATATGTAAACTTGGGGCACGCAAGTTTCTCACATGTGTCATAATTGTTTCCAGTGTGATTCAGCATTCTTGGGACATAGAGCGATATTAATAACATTTTTGACATAATAAAATAACTTGTTATAAAATGTTATATAGTCATATACATGTATAAAGACCAGATATCCGTTAGAAATATATTTATCAGCCGCTCCGTTTGTTCACCAAAACTTTTTATTCAATTCCTTTCAACACTAATGAAGAAGATGAAGGTAGACAAATAGAAATTGTTATACCCCACGCAAAAAGTTGCGTGAGGTATAATGTTTTTGACCCGTCCGTCAGTCAGTGTGTCAGTCAGTCCGTCAGTCCTGTTTTTTTGTCAACGCAACTCCTCATAAACCGCTGCACAGAATTTGGTCAAACTTTGCAGATATATAGCACACAATGTGTAGTTTTTCTGGGAATTTTGGCAGTTTTCAACTTAGCTTTTTGGCCATATCTTGAATATAGAGATGAACCGTTTGTAAGTGCAACTCCTCTTAAACTGCTGCACAGAATTTGATTAAACTTTGCAGATATTTAGTACACAGTGTGTAGATGTGCATAATACCAGGAAATTCCGATTCCTTTATTTTTCTGGGAATTTCGGCACTTTTCAACTTAGATTTTTGTCCATATCTTGAATATAGAGATGAACAGTTTGTCAGCGCAACTCCTCTTAAACCGGTGCACAGAATTTTGTCAAACTTTGCAGATATATAGTACACAGTGTGTAGATGTGCATATTACCAGGAAATTCCGATTCCTTTATTTTTCTGGGAATTTCGGCACTTTTCAACTTAGATTTTTGGCCATATCTTGAATATAGAGATGAACAGTTTGTAAGTTCAACTCCTCTTAAACTGCTGCACAGAATTTGATTAAACTTTTCAGATATTTAGTACACAGTGTGTAGATGTGCATATTTCCAGGAAATTCCGATTCCATTACTTTTGCATACAGGCCTTTGCATCGCTTAAATTCGACTTTGAATAAATGGGGTGTATAATAAAGATAAAGGTATGGAACTCCTTACATAGGGTACCCACATTCGCTAATAAAATACTTTTAAATCGTATGCTCTGAAGTTTTACTTATTTTTTTTTTAAATTACACCGTTAAAATGTTGGTGGTAACTTAGTAAGACCATATGATCAAATCAGATAAAATTTTGTAAAGACTAAGTGCTAATAAACAAATATTCGTAGAGTATAGAATAAATTCCGGGAAAAATTCGTCCTGTCTTTCCCGATTTACAATTAGTGTAACTATTCAGAGGCCCAAGCTAATGTAGAGTAAAAAAATAAGGTGAAATTTTGGAGTTGATTTCAGCATATCTCGGGAAGCATATCGAATTTAGGAATGAACTTTGGTAGTAACGTAGATTGTTTATATGTGAATAGTTATGAATAGAAAGAAAACTTTTAGATCATTTGATTTAAAAGTATTTCATTGGCGAATGTGGGTACCCTATGCAAGGAGTTCCGTACCTTTATTTTTTTTAACACCTTATTTTTTTTCCTAAAAGCGATCTAAAGGCCTGTGTTTTTGCCTTAAGAGTTTTGCCTATTATTGAAGAAACTTTCCAGCTAGGTAATGAGGAAATCCACTGGAATCAGCTTTTATAATGAAATTTTATGTAAAAATATTTTATGACCTTAAAAGACCCCTATTGATTTTGAGATCAAAATATTAATGATTTAACACACACACACAAAATCTTGGATAGTTCTCACCCCCACATATGCGTGTTTGGTATGCATATTTTTGCATCTTTTTTTTTTGATTATGACCAGATAGTTTGTTTTGTGTTTCTTATAAACATGTCAGTACTCTACTGAAGTTTTTATCGTGCCGATCCTTTTTTTTTTAAATTTGTGTAACTCAAGATCAGAAATAGAACTTCAGTGCTCCATTTAAGTTCAGTACCAGTTTACATTTTTCTTCAAAAACATGTATCGTTCTCTTTTTGATCTCCATTATCCAATTCAAGTAATCTTTACCAACCTTATTACAGGAACCTATTAAAGACTTGGACATTTCTAGAGAATCAGAAGAGGGTATATTACTACCAGAAGGATCATCAATAGAAAAGGAAGAGCAACCAAGCTCAACAGTTCAGAGCCAATCTGAAGAAAATAAACAAGGAGAAGATGATGCAGTTAGCGCTGGTCAAAGTAATGAAGAAACCACAACAGAAAGGCAACCACAGGGGAAGAATATGGAAGAAAGCCTAGAGGAGAATGAACAGTCGTTTTCAGAAGATACTCCAGATGTGGTAACTGAAAATGTTGATGGCAGCAATGAGAAGACAGAGACCGATATTGTGAAACAGGAAATGGATACACCTGAGTCAGAGATAATGAGTAAAACAGAAATATTGACTGAACAAGCTTCTCAGTCTTTGGGAAGTTCTGATTCAAAAGAAGGAGATGGAGTTGTCGGTAATCAGGAAATGACAAAAATTAAATTGGAAATAATGTCTCCAAAGACAGACACAGTAGAAGACTCCATACAGCAAGAGAAAGAAATAAAACAAGAAATTTTGTCCCCAGACAAGGATTCTACAACAGATTCTGTACAGAAAGAGACAAACTCTAGCTGGTCAGGGGAGTTTACACCTAGAGAAGCTGTGACTGACTTATCAGAAGGAGACAAAGAGAATGAAACTCTGACTGAAACAACAGAGGAACCAACCGAGAAGGTGGATTTTCCTGTATCAAAAGAGGCAGAGCATGAGAAAGATTCATCAAAGCCTGGAGAAATGGAAGGAGAGCCATTAGAGGAGGAAAAAACACAAAACCAAGAGGGTGAAGATGCTGAAGAGGATTTGGAAATGGAGGGAGAACCTGTGGGTCAGATGAAGGAAACAAATGTCCAGGATGAAGAAGCTTCAGATGATGTCAGTGAAGAAAAAGCTAAAGAAGAAAGCAGTGAGGAAACACTCATCTCTGAATCACGTGAAGAAAGCAAGAAAGAAGATGATTCAGAAATGAAGGTCAGAGAGGTAGAAACCATAGAAACTGATGAAGAGAAAAAGAAAGAGGAAGGATTAGTGGAGTCTGGGGATGTGGAGACAAGATTAGAAGAGAAGACAAGAGAAACTGAATACCAAAGTGAAATGGAGCAACAACAGGAGACTGAGGAGGGAGGAAAATCTATGCAATGTGAAAATAAGACAAGAGAAGAGGAGATGGAGGTGCAATCCCATCTGACAGGGAACAAGTCATCTGCTGACGGAGGTGCTAAAAGAACCTCAAGCTCACGTGATGGCAGAGATAAGAGGGAAATCGAGGGAAAGGATAGCGGACCAGCTGAGGGTGGAGAAAGTCAACGCAGTAGTGAGAGCACAGACAGAGGTAGAGGAAGTCACCAAAGAAGTGTAAGTTTTACAAAGAAACTTCTTTGCAGTGTGTTTCAGCTGCTCAAAGTTCCAAATGGAATTTTGTTTCAAGTTTGAATGGTTTTGTTGTCTGTATTTTCCGGATTTCAGTTTTAAAAATCCCTGACCAATTTTAATAAATCTAGTTTAAGAACAAAGCTATGTAGTGTTAAATTATACATGATTGCATTTTTATACTGGAGATACAGATCAAGAATGTTGTTCATATCCAAGGAAGGGGTAGGGCTACAACAGAGTCTAAAATAGTAAACAATGTTCAACAGATTGATGCAATGTTATATTCACGCAAGTCGACCAGGCGGAGAAATTCTTCAGTTACAATATAAACTATTCTTCATGCTTTTCGGAAATAGAAGTGGGACTCTTTTTTAAAGAATACAAAAAAAAAAATCCGAAGATGGTTCTTAAAAAAGAGAAAATTGATGTTACATTTACTCATAAATTATGAATTATAAATCTGTACATATACAATTTTCAATCGACGATGCCAAATATGAAGACTTGGGGGAACAAGGCAGTTGCTTAAATTGATATGCATGCATATTTTTAAAGTGAGTAGTAGGTCCAAGTTTATTCAATTTTGACACTTATAGACAGATTCAGCACACCAAGTAGTGTTTTTATTAATATATATGTTTTTTTCTTGATTACCTTCTCAAAAACATAATGCTTCTTTCATTTATTAATAACATAGGCAATTGAACATTTGAGGATACATTAGTTATTGGATATTTTGAAAAGTAGAGATAGAAAAGTTATTTGAATATAGTATCAATGGTTTTGTGTCCTTGTTGGAAATTTTACTTGTTATTTTGGGCTAGGATAGTGCTAAGATAGGTTAAGTTATCAGTATAGACGAACTCAATATCATGGTGTGATATGTTTTGTTGCCAGTCTCCAGAGGATGAAAGGAGATCAGATGATGTTGGTCGCCATAGTAGCCATCACCATGGCAACAGATCACACGGAAATCGAGATCACAGATCCCCTAACTATAATCAGTATGATCGACCTCAAGAGGACAGAAGCTGGTCAAGACATGACAGGCATTCTCACGGAGACAGGTCAGTAGTAAATAGAGATAAAGTTAGAATTGTTAGATAGTACATAGGGCTCATGGCAGGTATGACCCGTCAAGAGGGGATGCTTACTCCTCCTAGGCACCTGATCCCACCTCAGGAATTTCCGGGGGTCGGTGTTTATGCCCTGTTCATATACCTGTGTACAGTTTATAGTTATTATGAAATCAATCACTGTTCATTATTTTCACATTTTTCATGTTCTTCATTTCTAATCAAATTGATTAGACATCAGAATTATTAGAAAAAACTCAGTCCCCAAAATTCTCATCTTATTACTACTAATCACTCGGACAACAATTATTCTACTTTTCAGAGACAAGCATCATGGCCAGAACAGACATTACCATGACAACAGACATCAGTATGACAGAAATCGCTATGATGACGGGAGACATGGACATCACGACAACAGACATGGTTACCATGACAACAGGCATGGTTTCCATGACAACCGATCCTCGAGAGGTCATTGGAGAGGTCATGGAGGGTACAGGGGTGGATATAGAGATTACAGATAGTTTATGCCAGAGTATGACCCAAGATCTGAGACAGGATATAGGATTATACACCGGTATATAGTTTATAACAGAGAATGACTAAAATTGTAGACATGGTTCCATGATTTTTATATGAGTATGGTAAAAAAAATGAGACTAGTTCTTTCTGACGGTTTTACTGCTAGTACAGTAAAAATTGGATATGCTCTGATGTTATATATTCAAGTGTTAAAAGTTTATTCCCAGTTGATGAAGTGTACATGTTTTTCAAATTTGGGAAAAAGTGTAGTTTAACCTTATTATTTTGACAATTTTATTCTTTTGTAAAAACTGGAAAAAAAAATTACCATATATAGAACATATAATGACCTTCCCCTTCAATTTTCTGAGACATTTCTTTTTATGAGTCAAACTATAATACTGCATCCTCCAAAGCTGGCTGTATTTGCTGTATGAAGTTTCCAATGCTTATTATATTTACTAAAAGAAGGTAGGCTATGGAGAGCAGAATAATGATTTTGTACATGTTATTAAATCATGAAACTATATAAGAAATAGTTGGGCCTTAGACTGTGTAAATGTCATTCTATTCAACGTATTTTGTAAATCATATTAATCAGATTATAGACAACCTTCTAAATGAATTAGCCACAATTTTTTCACCTGTTTCAGTAACAATTTCAAAGAAGCTTCACATTGTTTCATGAAATACATGTGTAAAATGAATATTCAATAAACAATGAAATTACCAAAGTAAGACTCTTATTGATTGCTTTTCTTCTTAGCCCTTAAATCCATTCACTGTCTTCAGAAGTCTAGAACGAACTTCCAAATTTATTAGGCTAATTTAGAATTGAAAGTCTAGTACGTGTCATTATTAAGAGAAGAGGCAAACACCACAGATTCTAAGAAAAGAACATGATAGGGGTCTATATACTACAACTGAAATAGAATGGATATAGATTTAAAGCTGAACACGATTCGTAAAAGGAATGTGTCCGCCATATTCGATCGGACTCTCGCTATATCTGAGGACCCCTATATATTGAGCCGCTCACTTAGTCACTGGTCAGTGTAATCAATCATCACCGGTGTAGACGGACGTGTTATACAGCACTCGTGGTGACAAAAAAATAACAGTACTTATTCTAATGCATGAGAGTAAGATACCAAAGAGACTTGCAACAGTTGCACAGGTCAGTGCAGTATACAAACACACACAAATATACGTAACTGCAATAAAATGTAAACAAAGGTAATGCAGGATATAAACCAGCACGAACACGGGTCACTATTCCACGCCGATACCGTGACAATAAAGCAGTCAGGTGTAACGAATGCTATGAGTATACCCGGTGCTGATTTCGTAGATAGTAATATCAAATATGGTGTATGCCTATTTACGAGTCGTGTTCAGCTTTAAGAATTGGAATTTAAATTCAGACCTTAAAGGAGGCGGGACACAGATTTGAAGTTAATATTTTATCAAATTTTCTGTATGATATCATGACTTATATGTTGCTATAGCATTTTACACAGAAATATAATAAAAGTGCATTCAGAAACTTTTTTTAATATCGGGAAATTATTGAAACTACGAATTTCGGGACGTGTTTGATTGGCACATCCCTGCACTTTCACAAGGTAAACTGTATCCTTTATACTTTTAAAAGAAAAGTAGGAATTTTGTTGTGTATTAATGAAAAGTATTAAAACTGTAATCCAGAAAATTCAGAGGAGAAATATGAGAAAGCAGAACCAACTGACCAGTATTGTTAGTCCGTTCTCGGTGATGTGTGCAGAGTTTAATAAATTGAACACACCCGGTGATACGTAAACATGAACAATAACGGAGCTTGTGCCCTGTTTACAAAAAACAGATGTTTGACATGATCTAAAGAAGAATGTCATTGTCATTGAATTCTAAGAATATTCATGTAAGTTCAATTCATTTAACTGGTTTAATTTTTTGAATAAGCATAGGAATTTAAAATGTAAAGAATGCAACTGTATCCAGGCCCCTTTATGATTGCAGTCCCGAGTCATGCAATACTGACACAACGACAATTCATAAAACAAATATTACATACTCTGAAACGAGGCCATAACTATATCAGCGGGGAAAAAGCATGTATGACTTTTCAATTAAGAGTTATTTCAAGGCAAGGCGTTCTGGATGACATTTTCCTGGTAACCATTCTAAGAGGAGAATACGCGAGTTTCTCAAGAATGACTTTATTTCCAGGTTGACAAAATTGTTAAGATGGCTACTTGATGTTAATGCTTTATTATTGTAATATATGTCAAGGACGTTTCGCAAAATTTAGAAAGTATATAAGATGAAATATAATTAAGTACAGACTGGTAGTCAAGAAAATCTTTAAGAAGCTTTATTTAGAAGGATATACAATTGATAAATTTAGCAATATATTCTGAAGGTTAGAAACCGCGCAAAGCTTGTTCCCTACAGATTTCTGTACAAGTCAGGGAGCCTCTAAACATTATCCCTGAGTACCCAAACTCCGTCACCATAAGCGATAAACACCCTGCTTTACTCTCCGAATTATTTTTTGATTTGTTTCTTGTTTACTACACAGATGAACATAGCATTGTTTTTAATAATATTAATCAAAAAAGTGCAGTCACTGGGCTTGTATAACACGACTAAATAGAACGTGCATCACATCCCTGTACATTACGTCCAATGAACCCTAACTCTGTCACCAGGGACCTCTACAATATGCCTACGCATTAAATACAATTTTTCCCCAGTTAAGTTTTTTTTGTCCCTTTTCTTAAATTTGTAAACATAAAAGGTAGTATTAAAGATTTAAAATAGTATTAAATTGTGTTTTAAGAAAACTATCAACAATAGAAAATAAATTACGCAAATATAACGTGTTTTAAATGTAATAATTTCGCGCTAACGTTATCTCCAGCGTAGTTCATTAGGGCATATGTAGACAAAAATTAGATATTCTTAACCGTATTCAACATGGCTTGTCGGGTTAAACTTTTGACACAGATCTTCAAAAAAAAGGCTGACATGTGAAAATGAGCATGTTGATGCACACGTCGGATATATCGATGGAATAGCGCATAAAGGAAAAAGTGCTTACTGATTTCACATCAAATTAAATATGATAGATGCAATATATTAAGCATTGTTGTTATTTGTTTTTGACGCATTCTTGAACTTTACTGTTATATCTCTGCATTTGATTGTAGATTTTCAACATGTAAAAAATGACGTCATTACCGCATTCGTTTACAACCAGCGCGGAGTTTCCCGAATGTGACGGAGTTGGAGTAGTGACGGAGTTAGGGGGTATAGCGATACGTAGTCAGATCATATCCATTGCTTTCGATTTTAGTTCTAAGTATCGACACATTTTGATTCATTTCTTAATTCATTATTATTCTTTTATTTGATTTTTTTATTAGATTTTTAGGTCATATTTAAATGTTTTGCAGGCTGAAAATAAGCCCTTTTCACCTACTATCTTAATATTTTGTTCTTTAATAAGTTATACTTTATTCGCAGTTTGTCAAGTTGATTTTTTAATTCTCTGTATTTCTTTCTAAAATTGACCCTTGCAATTTGACATTTGTTTCAAATTATAACACCGTACTTTAATTCTGAATTTTGAGGGGTTATTTAATCGGAAAGATGTACTTAACATCGTAAAATCTACATCATAATCATATGTGCATCAAAAGCTTTTCTTTAGGACAAAGCAGTCTTCAGCACTTAATAATAAAAATATACAATTTAAATACTATTAATGAGCCTTACAAACAAATACAATGTTGTTACCTGCTTTGTCAGGCGGGACCAGTGCATACTGATCGTGTAATCTACTTAATTCTTTTTTCACTTCTGAATTATTAAACACAGGATAGTTGGTTTCATCTTGCCCCTCAATCGCTTAATGCGAGATTTTAACATACATCTGATAAATCCATTCTGACAACGTTTCATGGTCTTCTTTTTTCATGTTTTTTTCTTCATGTTTGGCCCATCGCCTGGCGTACGTAATCTTCCACAGCATCCATAAAAATTATGAAATTTTGACGCCAGTTAAAAGATCGAGGTTCCCTAAATTTTGGCCTTTTTAAAATTAATGATTAATAATACATGTATCATAACAAAAATTGCATAAAAATAAGAATGTAACATATTTTGGGTGTATTTGCACTATTCGGCTGAGAGAGATAACAGATGCGAAGCTCTGAAGATAAAAATAAACATAGATGCTGGCCACTAGGGTTTGACCTTTTCACCTGGACGGTTTCAAGAAAATGATTCATTAGCAGGCGGTTGTTTACTTGTTTATCAAAAGATGTATTTGGTTAGGAGGAAGGAGCAACCAATAGTATTGAAGTGACCAGAGGTCAGTTGTTCGTATAAATTAGCTACAATAAAGAATATTTAAAGATTATGCAAAAGATAGAAAATGATTTTTAAAGTGCATTAGGAAATTAAAAAGTGTTGGAGGACAGAATAATAGTAATTAAAATTCAAATTCAAATTCAAAAGTAGTTATTGCAAATTTTGAAGGATTAACAAATATGGGGATGTACGACTTCAGATATTAAAGCAGGCGGCCGGGGCAGACACGAATTCAGTGGAAAGCTGAATTGTGACTGTCTTGGTTGCATGTTATACAGGTGAGATCATTTTGTAGACTTGCGCGGTTTTTTTTTTTTGTAAAGTTATATTTTCAGATGCATGGCTCTTTTTATTTACAGGTTAAAATATTTAATATTATAAGTAGTAATATTTATCAGAATGTTTAGTAGATTGTGTGAAATTATTTACTGTAATTTATAGATATTAAAAACATGAATTGTTTAATTTAATAAAGAGTGGAAAGCTGAATTGTGACTGTCTTGGTTGCATGTTATACAGGTTGGGTAACATCTCCACTCCCCAACACCTGTGAGCCGCTCTGGTCAGGAAAGGTCCTCATTTATGGAAGGTGGAATTTAAAGAGTTGTTATATTTGATGTGTCCTCTCACTTGCATAGCCAAAGATCCCGGGTTATACAAACAAAATGCATGATCGGCCCAATGTCATTCGGGACTCTGTCTCCTCAGACTTCAATGGTTGAGGTATAGGGAAACAAGACAATTAGGCTGGAGTCCGGAATGAGGTTGACCCGGTTATGATACATGTAAGTAGCTACGACGTAGAAGTAAAGATAGTTACACTATTTTTTAATGTTAATAACTATATATCTTTTTTATGAACAATTTGTTTTCTGACAATTATTTTTTTTGTTACTCATAAGTTAGAGTCTTTTTAATAAAAACATTATTCATTTAAACACTTGGAGCAATGTTAGAATTTACAACTGAGTAGAGTGTTTTTATTTTTACATATGCTTAAGTAAAATTCCTTAGCACGTACATTCTTGCAAAATTATTTCAGGGCATCTCAACACATCTTTGATTTAATCTTCACAAGTGTGAGTTGAAAAAGTCAGATGGGCTGTGACATTTGAAATTTGATAAAAAATATTTGTCACACGTTTTTAAGGCTCTCCATTATCGTTCAAGAAATATACAGATGATCGGATGTATTGTTTAGAAAGATTTACAGATAAGTACAGAATGCAAATTTCCATAAACTCAGCAGAATTCTCAGCATAAAGACGAAATTGTTGAAGGGAATAGGTCAAGGTCAAACATGGAGTAGACCTTTTTTCAGCTCTAGTGTAATATTATGGTTATTGGTTAATTGAGTAATTTTG